TGAGTAATTGAACTGCAGTCAGAAGTATTGTTGACGTTCGTTGATTAGCGTTTGTTTTAGCGCGATTGTTGAAGTTTAAGTGTATCAGTAAAGTTATATTCGGAAAGAATAAACCAGTTTTATTAAGAAAGAACTTGTGTCGCTTAAGTTTCGTCGGAACGAAGTTACGGAAAATCAGTTAACAAACGGAGACGTAACAATATGTTTTTGACATAAGGAACCCACGACACACTTAAAAATGACAAAACTTCGTTATTTTTCAGCGTACTTTATACGATATAAAACTAAATAATCGTACAAGTGTAAAACAAACTATATATACATACAGTTGACCCATTTGATTTCGCATATGGGCTGTAAAGATCAGTTCAGCTTAAATATCGATTGCTGACTTACACATCACGATAGGAAGTCTATGGAGTCAAGCTAGGGCATAGTGAGATCAGGTAGGAGGGTTAAACCAGCACAAAACAAAAAGTCAAACTTAAACAACAGCCCTATTGCACGAGTCATTATAATTTACGATCTCGTGCTAGTATGTGTATATTGTTATCCCATTATTGTTTTCAATGTCAGATATTTTGAAATCTAATTTTGAATTTTCTGTTTTATGATTATTTTTATGTATCAATTTGGTGCATAATTATTGTGTATCACATTTTATGTCTGGTGTTTATCATTATAAAATATGCTTTAAAATCAAAGGATTTTATATTCACTAGACATTCATTTATCCAAAGAATTTGTATATCACAGAACTTTGACTTTAATGCTCAGATAAAAGGAGTTTATTGAGTCTTTCACATTACATAAAAGTATAAAATGTGCAACCATTGCATTATCTTTCTTAAAATTTCCTGATCCTATAAAGGGCCATCAATTATATATCAAGTTGAGAAACATTGTTGATCTTGTAGATGGATCCCCATTTAAAAACATGATCTTGTTCCTGCATAATACCAATAGCCCAGTGCAACAATATTTGGGGAATACTGACATATTTAATCATATGTTTGGTCAGATGATACAAATTTTTAAAAACAAAATATATTGGACACTTTCCAAAGTGATTGGATTTAAGGTACTTATTGATCACCTCTTCATTTAGAAAATTTCTAGAACATTCATCATACTTAAAATCCATGTCTAAAATGACAAAAGTAATCATATTTATATCATAATATAAAACAAAGGAAATCTTACACATTCAGTCTAGTTGGACAGATTCATAATATGTTCATGGTCTTCACTTATTTTTATAAGTAGTAGTTTTGGCTAATGATTAAATACAGTTATACTAACTGATATAGGATCCATGACTCAAATTTAAAGTTCAATAAGAACAAATATTGGCATACGCAATATACTAAATAAGTTGAATGTATGTATACTTTGTCTTACACATGATGTACATTCATTTAGTTTTATATCGAATAGGCTGCACTGTAAAATAACAGTTTTATCAATTTTAAAAATGTGTGTATAGATTTTCTTCTCCAGTGAGTCATTTGTTTAGATTATATGGTTCAGATGGAAAGATTGAATGCTTTAGGTTAAAACAATCTTCTAAGTATTTGTAAGATCATTTAGTGTATGTGTAAGCTATAAACTCAAACTTTTCTACATTACAGTTAATGTGTTACAACATTATTATATAGTTTGAACATTTTAAAATGACAAAAAAAACTGATTAGTTTCAGGATAAAGTAGATTGTAAGTACATGTTTATACCTAGCACAGAGCTTTTCCAAAGGATTTTTTTTCAATTGCAAGATTATATTATAACTTCATCATTTTTTAATACAACACCTTATTGCACCTCATATATTCAGGCCTAGTAACAAATGATCCAAAAAATGAAGAATACTCTGGTAAATACATTTATCTGTCAACTCCAGAATGGAATTTTATAATCTTAAATGTTTTTTTAAATATACAAATGTATAGTTTGTGATCAAATGCACAAATATTTTTACAGGTTTATAGTTTGTGATCAAATACACAAATATTTTTACAGGTGTACAGTTTATGATCAAATACACAAATATTTTTACAGGTGTACAGTTTGTGATCAACTGCACTCTAGGAAAATCCCTGATCTAGCAGCTTAATGTTAATGGAAAAAAACAGTAGAGTAAAAGACATATAGTGGAATGTACACTGTATTATAATGTAACTGCTTTGTGATAAGGTCAACATTTATTTTCACTTATCATTACACAAGTGAACTACAGTATTTATTCTAAACAGGAAAAATATAAACTGTATCTGAAACTTACAAAAGCACTTAGTTCTTGCAGGAATGTTGTAATTATAAGACAAGCATACACAAATAATTTTGCTATTATTATAACAAATGTTACTCGTTTTCTTGGAACTTAACCATTGTATCCCTTTTCAATTTAGGTCAGTAAGTTCATTCGTTAATGTTAACTTCCCTTCGTTAAGATCCACTCATGCTGAATTGTTGTGTGTCATAATGTCACTTGTTGAAACAATCAGTTTTACTCGTATATATTTAATTAAACAGAAAATGTGCTTTAAATTTGTATATGTAAATAATATTACAGTAAACAGAATTGTTATTTTCAATTGTGGAGTTATAATTACCATATACCTCATCAATTCTAGTGATATAATTATCTGAAATTGTTGGTATTCTAATTTATTATGTTAGAAAACCTGAAAAAATTTACTCAAGTGAATGGAATTTTGTTCTACAGTAAGTCTCACATTTTAGAAAAGTGCAAGTGTTACTATGATTAGATGGGCCAAAAACAAAGTTTAATAAATTGTAAAATTAGACATAAAATTGAAAACAGGGCTATATATGTAGACTGATAACATAAGAATATATATGCAAATCATAAAGTCAAACTGTACTATATTATAATTACCAAAACGTGTTATACATTCAGTTTGGATTATTTACGTATGGGACAATATGAAATAGTGCTTTTCAAGTTTACAAAATTTGTTAGCTGAAGAACATAAATAAAACAAAGTGAAACTACTTAATTATAATTAGCAAACATGCATTACATATTTAGCTTCAATAATTTATTTATGAAACTATATAAAATAGTCCTTTTTAGGTCTAATTGATAAACTATATGATTGTAAAAAGTGCATTATACAAAACAGATGTAATATTAATTGTAAGGGTTTGATTATTATTTAAGTGAAAACTGTAAAGTTGATGGTATAATCCCATGTTAATATCTACTGATCTACAACACCACTTACATGCTCATCATAGACCTCACTCTCCTACCCTTTGCCCCCTCCCCATTTTCTGACCCTAGCAACAAGCCGAGGTCCCATTGTGGGCCTATGACATCAAGTGATCTAGTACCAAGACCTTAAGATTTCCCCATTGCCTGAGGCAACCAATCAGCATGAGACGGTATCCTTTGGTGCTTGAAGTGCCAGTCTAACTAGGAACAGGTATCTGTGAAAAACATGTTTACTGCTTAAAATATATATATATACATATATATATACAAAGTGTGCTATAAGGGACAGAATACTCCTGAACTGCACAAATATGGCACTTCTTTGTTTGTATAATTTTATAAAAAAATTGTTCTTAAAGTCGTTAAATTAGGCGTAAAAGGTAATTCAACAAACTTACATTCTAGCAGGCCATTATGTATAATGTAATATGCTAATAATAGTGTATTTAGCTATCCAACTTTTTCTTAAATACCTATTTTAAGTTTATCAATAAACTGTCACATAAAAGATAAATTATGTTAATAGTTTTTGCACTCAATGATGTTGCAGTAGGAGATGAAACTCCCAATAAAATTGCTTAATAAATGCAAAACTAGCCCTTACACTTCTACCTACTCAGTTTTCAAACTTCTACCTTATTCATCATTGTAGCTCAAACTTTATTGAAGGGTTATTTTATCATTTGCAGTAGAGAATTTTGAAAATCCTTTTTCTGAATAGTAAGGATTTTTTTTTTTTTATTGAATGAAAAATGATTCAGTAAATAGCAAACTTTGCACTCCCTTGTTATTTATGATTTTATTTGTTAAGTCTTACGATGTTCCTAATCACTTCAGTTGAAACTGTGAGATCCTTCAGGAAAATGAAACTAGTGATTCATCAAGACTTTTTAGAACACATTTTTATCAAGACTTATCTCACACTTTCAAAAACCTTGTTTGCATCTGTCTTCCAGTTTGGTGTCCAAGGTTAAGTTTTAAATAATGCTTACAATAAAAGCAAATTTCTTTAATGTATATAAAGCTAGACACCAATGACAAAAACAACAAAAGAAAACACTTTAGATCCTGGTTTGCCTAAAACTCTATTTTCTGATAATTATTTTATATAATGTCTTTTTTCTTAACCCTCCTAAAAGATGCTGTTACCACCGACCTTGGTTATGCCAGTGTATAACAATATATATATATATATATATATATATATACT